TTTACAGATCAGATAACTAACCATTTTTTTTTCTCTTTTTCTTATTCCTTATTCCTTATCCTTTCTTCTTAACACCTTTTTTTTTCTCTACCGTTTCTTAAATTTAATCGATCTTTACTTATCTTTCTATTTATTTTACTTATTTACTTATTTACTTACTTACTTACTTACTTACTTACTTACTTATCCACTTACACTTACTCATTTACTTACTTTTATAATCCAAATCTAAATTCTTAAAAAAAAAAAAAAAAAAAAAAAAAAAGGAAAAAAAAAGAAAAGTCACACGACGACTTCCTACAAATCAGATAACTAACTATTTCTTTTTTTCTTTTTGTCCATTCCTTATCTTCTTTTCTTAACATTATTTTTTTCTTCTTTTTTTTTCCTTATTATTTTTTAAATCTAATCTATATTTACTCGTCTTTCCAAATTTGGAAAAAAAAAAGGAAGAAAGAAGGAAAAAAAAAAGGAAAAAAAAAGGTCATACGACGACTTCTTAAAGATCAGATAATTAATTTTTTTTATTTTTTTATTTTTTTTATTCCTTATCCTTTCTTCTCAACATCATTTACTATTTTTTCTTTTTTTATCATTCCTTAAATTTAATCTATATTTACTCGTCCTTTTATCGATTTCACTTACTTATTCAAGGGGGCTACGATTCTTTACTTGTACGAGGTGCCCCTTACGAACCTTTAGCTTTTTTTTTTTTTTCTCTTGCGGTAGAAAGAGAGATAAAGAGTTTAAAAAGCCGAAATTGAATCATCGATATGCGACGTCTTTTCGAAAAGATTTTCTTTTATTAACGATTCCGAACCTTTCTTCTCTTTCTTCTCGAATACTACGCCGACTACGATCTATACTTAACGAGCATACCGATTGAAAAGATTATAAAGATTTGCGATAAAAAAAGAACGTATATAAAAGATAAGATAAGAAAGGCTTAGTTCGATTGATCGAAAACACGGTATTGCGCTTTCGAAAAAGCGTTTTACAAACACACCGGCTTTATTTAAAAGCTACGAACGCGAGCTTTCTTAGCTTTACGACGAAAAAGAACGATGTTTATATTATACGGATCGAAGCCGCTCGTAAAGCTATACGTATTCGACAGTTGTCGAAAGAAAACTCGACGCATATCATTATGAATTGCTTTTAAAGGGTTTATAAGTATCTAGCTATTTAACGAAATGTTTTCTTTAACGTAGTTTTTACTCTCGATTAAATAGTACTTTGTATATAATTCTTTTATTTAGCACGTCGCCGTACTTTATAAGAGGTCCTCAAGGTCTAAGCATTGCGTTTTAGATACCCGCCCGACGTTAATAAATACAACAACAACAACAACAACAATAATAACACTTACTTATTCACTCACTTACTTACTTACTTACCTACCTACTTACTTATTCATTTACACTTACTTATTCACTTTTACGACCTAAATCCAAATTCTTAAAAAAAAAGAAATAAAAAAAAAGGTCATGCGACGACTTCCTACAAAGCAAATAACTAACCATTTCTCTTTTTATCTTTTTTCTTTTTTCTTTTTTTCATTCCTCATCTTCTTTTCTCAACATCAATTTTTTTTTATTCCTTAAATTTAATCTATATTTACTCGTCCTTTTATCGATTTCACCTACTCAACTTACTCACGTACCTACTTACATTCACTCATTTACTTACTTTTATAATCCAAATCTAGATTCTTAAA